CAGCCCTTAGGGTGCCTTAGGAGACCTAAGGGCTTAGGCCCAAAGGAGACCCCAGCTTTCAATGACCTCCACTTACCTGGAGGGAAGGTCTCTGTGTGCGTGTGTGTGACAAGAAAGGGTCTTTCTATGCAATGCCACAGACAGGCCAAAACAATGAGTTGACTTTAATTTTTGAAACCTGCCTTGAAATATATTTAAAGGAGACGGTCATGGGGGAGGAAGGGGGAGGCGGGGCAATTTTTAAACCTTTCTAATTGTGCCTGATTTTTAACTGACATGATCACTATTTGTTGTGAGAGATATTATTATTCATTTATTTATTTTGAAGTACAGTTGATTTTCAATGGTTTTTGTAGAGATTTTTAAAAAAAAATTATTATTATTATTATTTTGGCTGTGTCGCATGGCTTGTGGGATCTCAGTTCCCTGACCAGGGACTGAACCCAGGCCCTGGGCAGTGAAAGCATGGAGTCCTAACCACTGGACATCCAGGGAATTCCCTGATTTACATGTTGTGTTAATTTCTGCTGTACAGCAAAGTGGTTTGGTTATACATCTATACATATTCTTTTTCATATTCTTTTCCATCTGGTTTATTACAGGATATTGAATATAGTTCCCTGTGCTGTACAGTAGGACCTTGTTTTTCATCGCTTTTATATATAGTAGTTTGTAGAGAGACACTATTTATGGGTCACTCAGCCTGTGCGTGGGCCCAGAACATTCTGTGCTATGCATCATCTCATTTAATCCTCCCAACCTTGGCTAAGTAAGCCACTTCCTTCTCTGTGCCTGGGTCTGTGCAGTGGGCATAGTGCAGTTTCTGCCTCATGGGCTGACGTGGCCGCCGGGGTTATGGGAGATACTACACGGGCAACTGCCTTGTACTCAGCCCCACTGTCTCTCCCAGCCTTCCCCTCACCAGTCCGGACCTTGCTGAACCTCAGAAGCCATGCTGCTCTGGGCCAGGGACAGCCATAGCCCTGTGGGGCCCAGAGCCAATCCTTTCCTCTCCCTGAGCCTCAGTCTTCTCATCTGGGAACTGGGGATAAGGGTTATCCTGGCCCTGAGGGGCCGCGGTTAAGGATCAGGTGGAATACTCTATGGGAAGCACCGTGGAACTGTCACAAACTGGCCAAGACTGAAGTGTGGCTGTCATTTTCAAACTTGGGATGTATCCTGGCTCCTCCCCTAGACATGTGATGTCTGGACAGGCAGACTTACAGGAGGATGGTCACACAGAGGTCGGCCACCCTGACACCCAGAAACAGGGCAGGACTGGACCCCCTTTCCAAGGAGCCAGTGGGCACAGACCTGTGAGCGTTCACTTCTCAGACTGGCTTAAAGCTCCCTGGAGTCAGGAGCAGTGGATGGCTCTTCTGTGTGCCAGGGCTGAAACCAGGGGCAAGAAAGAGGCAGCCACAGCCGTGCCCAAGAGCAGGCAGGCCAGAGACAATGTCAATAAAGACAGTGAAATCTGGCCTACTGAACCTCTTAGCTGCCTCGTGCTGGGCTAGGTGTTTTGCAAACCTTTTTTTTTTTTTTTTTTTGCGGTACACGGGCCTCTCCCTGTTGTGGCCTCTCCCGTTGCGGAGCACAGGCTCCGGACGCGCAGGCTCAGCGGCCATGGCTCACGGGCCCAGCCGCTCCGCCGCATGTGGGATCTTCCCGGACCGGGGCACGAACCCACGTCCCCTGCATCGGCAGGCAGACTCGCAACCACTGCGCCACCAGGGAAGCCCAAACCTTTTCTAATTTAAACCTCACGATCATCCTAGGAAGGAGGCATCCTTACCCCTATTTTACAGATGGGGAGACAGAGGCCCAGGGAAGCTAATGAATCCAAGGTTGCATGGTGGATCTGGGATTCAGCTCCAAACCTGTGTGTCCTTAACTTGTATGCAGATGGGGCATCCTCCTGTGTCTGGGGTGAGGTGACAGTTGGAAGGAGGAAGGAGAAATACATTCGCATATAGATAAGAGTATAGATACAGCTGTTGATGCATGTATGATATAGATATCAATAGAGAGATATACAGAATTAGTATTTTTTGAAGACTTAGAGGTTTAGACCAGTGGTTCTCAAAGTGTGGCCCTGGCACCTGTAGCATCAGCATCATCTGGGAACTTGTGAGAAATGCAGGTTCCTGGGCCCCACCCCAGATCTGCTGAATTAGGAGCTTTGGGGGTGGGACCCAGCAATCTGTATCTTCACAAGCCCTCCAGGCGATTCTGATGCTCATTCAAGTTTGTGAACCACTGGTTTAGACCATGGGCTTTGGCCTCAAATGGCTGTTATGACCCTAGACAAGTCATTTCCCCTCATATAACAGGGATTATAACATCTCCCAGCTCACAGGCTGTCGCCAGGATTCTGTCGGAAAATACGCATGAAGCTGGGAGCTCACGCACTGTGAGGCACACGCCATGGTGGGGCGAGGCATCAGGTCCTGCCCGCGTGGCAAGCACCGGTGGACTTGACCCATCAGGGGACAGCTAGGCTGTAGGGACCAGTGACAAGCACGGTGACCTCTGAGCACTGGGGACAGTCAGAGGACTGATTGAGATGGGGAGGGGTTGCCATTCCAGGGAGAGTCCCACCCAGGGATGTGCTGAACTTCTAGGGGTCAGAGCCTTCCTGGGGGCGCTGGGGTGGGTGAGGGTGGAATCCCTGGCCCTGCCCCTCTCTGGTCCCTCCTGGTAGCCTCAGCTACCTGCTGCTCAATAAGTGGGATCCCGGGAGCTGTCTGACCCATCCCTGGATTGACTGCCACCTCCCTGTGGGAGGAGCCCAGAAGCACAAAGCCCCTTGCTCCTTGGAGCCTACTGGGAGCACACCACCTGCTTCAGCTGGGATTGTCAGGCCAGCTGTGCAAGCCGGGCTGGTCCCACGAGACCTCTCTGTGCCTCAGTTGGAACTAGCAGAGGAGGTTTAGGGTTATCTGGTTCTACCCTCATTGTACGGATGAGGAAACCGAGGCCACAGAGGGACAGTAACCTGCTCAGGAGCCTTTGGTGAATGGGGGAGGAGTGCGCCTCGTAGCAGAGCTGGCTTTGAGGACTCTGGTTGCTCTCAGGCACCAGAGAGCAGAGCCTCAGCTGGACCTTCTACACTGCCTCCATCTGTGCAACATAGCTGGCCCAGGAGTCAAGACACCCGGGTTCCGGCCTCAACACTGAGCAGCCTGATCTCACAGGAAGGTTTTGTGATCCTTGCTGTGTGACTTCAAGCAAGTTGCTTGCTTTCTCTGTGCCTCTATATCTATGTCTGCAAAATAGGGATAATAGTGCTAGTACCTCCTCTTGGGTTGGCTGTGAGGACTAAATGACATAGGTCTGGAAAGCACTTAACCTCGTGGCCTCCAGGGGCCTCCCCTGAGCCCTCTCCCTAAACTGACTGCCACCTCCCCTGTATCACTCTTGACCCCATTACCCTGCGTGATTTTCTTCCCATTATTTGTCATTATCCATAATCACCTCACTTACCCATCTACACATGTGTTTTATGTTTGTCTCACTCACTGGACACAAACTCCCAAGAACAAAGATGTTTCCTATTGTAAGTATATGGCCATTTCCTGGCACGTGGTAGGTGCTCAATAAATATCTGATGAATAAACAATTGAGTACACATCCCTCATCAGACTGGGAGCCCCTTGATGGAGCAAACCGAGTTTCATCTGCACCGGCTTCCCTGGTGTGACCAGCCTAGGGCTAGGTACCAAGAACACTCCTTGTCCAAGTATTACGGAAGCCGTTCCGTGGGCGGGTGACTGCAAGAGGGGAGGTTTTCCTGGCACTGCCACCTCCTGGCCATGGCCTGTCCCCCAGGAAGCCAGAACACACCGCGTGCCGCTGCTACAGGATTCAATGTCCCTCTGGAGGTCGGGCCTCTGGAGGTTTCCCATTTCCCCAGAAGCAGTGGTTTCCACGAGGCCTTTATGTTTTCATTGACTGCCTGAAGTATGGCAAGCTTTGTTTCCCTGATAAATATCATTTGATAAGAAAATCAGGGAACACAGAGTCCGGAGTCAAGGTCAAGTGCCTAGAATCCTGCCCCAGAACCCAAGATTGTGCCCGGCAAGAACGTCAGCGCTGGAAGGGGCTTCTGAGACCACGTGGAGAAAGGCTTTGTTTTACAAGTGGGGAAACCGGGGCTGGGAAGGGGACACAGCCAGCCAGAGACAGGCACTAGTATTCTTATCCCCATTTTACAGATGTAGAAATGGAGGCACAGACACAGGGTGGGAACCCAGGAACCCTGACATTCCAGTCCGGCACGCTTTCTAACTTGTCCCCTGATACTTCAATGTCCTGGAAAAGGCTTGGGAGGCACAGGGAGGGAACATTCTCTCTGCAGTAGGTATGCATCGTCACTGAGATGCTGTCTCAATCCCCCTTCCCCTGGAGCCTCCTCCAGGCTCCTGGATTGTCCTCCCCCCGGGGGAGTGCCCAACCCCACTGCACTTTGCTACAGGTGCTTCCATGAACGTGGCTCCTGGCTTTCACCTGGGAAAGGTGCCCATGCAACTCAGTATTTTCTCCCCGTGACCTCACCAGGTCGCAGAGCCTGAGGCTAGGAGATCCACGAGTGATCCACTAGGCCTGCATCCCCCCCCATCTTACAGAAGGGGAAACTGAGGCCCAGAGGCTGCGGCAGGCTGCCACCCCTCGGGAAGTCTCAGTGCCCCTCATGCATTCCAGTCAACATGTCGGAGCCCCTTCAAAGTGCCTGGTCCGTGAGGCTGCAGGGATGAGGCACAGCCCTGCCTTCCTCAGGTCCGGGTGTCAGTGCCGGTAGGAGAAGGGGTTCCTGAGAGACCACATCAGTCACACCTCAGCATGGCTGGCCTCCTGCCCTCGAGGGCAAGGGTGGGAGAGAAGAGGGTCCAGTGCCAGCACAGCAGGTGTTTCCCAGTACAGCCCCTCTGTGTGCGTGGGTACGCACGCACACACACACACGTATGCACGCGCGTGCACACACACACACACACGCACACACAGGCACACGTGCACGCACACAGTGACGCCAGTGCCAAGAACCCTGCACTCACCCATGACGTTGAGGAAGATGTTGCCTGATGCCAGGACCACCTTCTCCCTCGTAGCGCGGTCGTAGATGCCCACGTGGCACTCGTAAGGACCGTTGTCAGAGATGCGGACCTCGGGCAGCCTGCGGGGAAGCAGAGGCGCAGGATGAGGGTCCCTGGCCTGGGGCTGGCAGTCACAGCGCTGCAGTAAACCAGCCCCAAAGCCCCACCATCCAGCCTTCTGTCAACAACGCTCCTGGACCCACCATGCAATGCCCACGTGCTGTGCTGGGTGCAGAAGAAACATTTATGGAACACCGACTGTATGCCAGGCCCTGTGCCCGATGATTCAGAGGATGAAGGTGTGGGCTGTGTGTTCAACTAGAGTTGTATCTGTGCTCCTTTCAGCTGCTGAGCCAGGGATGGTGACGTGCCCGCTCCCAGGGCCCCCCCTGAGGATGACATGGACTGAGGCGCCTGTCATGTGGTTCAGGCTCAAAACTGTCACCTAGTCCACCAGCTCACTCATTCCTCACAGCTGCCCCCGCCACAGGAATTGCTCTTCCCATTTCATAAACATGGAAACTGAGACTCCAGAGGGGATGTAATTGCCCCCCCCCACCTTGGCTATTAAGAGCCAGGATGGGAATCTGAATTCCTCTCTCCACACGGCCATGCTATCACTTTATGCATGGCCCTGGAGACTTGAGAAGAAACACAGTAAAATTCTTGTCTCCATGGACCGCCCCCCATCCCGATGGATAAGGAGGCAGGGAAGCTGATCAATGCCCCAAATCCCATGGGACTATGGAGAACAGGATGGAGGTTCCTTAAAAAAGTAAAAATAGAGTTGCCACATGATCCAGAAAACACAGCCCTGGGCATATATCCAGAGAAAAATATAATTCAAAAGATACACGCACCCCAATGCTCATAACAGCACTATTCATAACAGCCAGGACAAGGAAGCAGCCTAATGTCCATCATCGGATGCATGGATAAAGAAGATGTGGCACATATATACAATGGATACTACTCAGCCATAAAAAGGAACGAAATTGAGTTATTTGTAGTGAGGTGGATGGACCTAGAGTCTGTCATACAGAGTGAAGTAAGTCAGAAAGAGAAAGACAAATACCGTATGCTAACACATATATATGGAATCTAAAAAACACACAAAAAAAATGGTCATGAAGAACCTAGGGGCAAAGTGGGAATAAAGACACAGACCTACTAGAGAATGGACTTGAGGATACGGGGAGGGGGAAGGGTAAGCTGGGACAAAGCGAAAGAGAGGCATGGACATATATACACTACCAAATGTAAAATAGATAGCTAGTGGGAAGCAGCCGCATAGCACAGGGAGATCAGCTCGGTGGTTTGTGACCACCTAGAGGGGTGGGATAGGGAGGGTGGGAGGGCGGGAGACACAAGAGGGAAGAGATATGGGAACATATGTATATGTATAACTGATTCACTTTGTTATAAAGCAGAAACTAACACACCATTGTAAAGCAATTATACTCCAATAAAGATGTTAAAAAGAAAAAAGAAAATGTGGTGTGTGTATATACACACACACACACACACACACACACACAATGGAATATTACTCAGCCATAAAAAAGAAATAATGCCATTTGCAGCAACATGGATAGACCTAGAGATGATCACACTAAGTGAAGTAAGACAAAGTCAAATATCATATGGTATTGCTTATATGTGGAATCTAAAAAATGATATACAGGGCTTCACTGGTGGTGCAGTGGTTTAGAGTCTGCCTGCCAATGCAGGGCACACGGGTTCGTGCCCCGGTCCGGGAAGATCCCACATGCTGCGGAGTGGCTGGGCCCGTGAGCCATGGCCGCTGAGCCTGCGCGTCTGGAGCCTGTGCTCTGCAATGGGAGAGGCCACAACAGTGAGAGGCCCGCGTACCACAAAAAAAAAAAAAAAAACAGAAAACAAATTTATGGTTACCCAAGTGGAAAGGTGGGGGGAGCATTAAATTAGGAGTTTGGGATTAACATATATACACTTCTATATATAAAATAGATTACCAACAAGGACCTACTGTATAGCACAGGGAACTATATTCAATATCTTGTAATAACCTATAATGGAAAAGAATCTGAAAAAGAGTATCTATCTATCTATCTATCTATATATATAAAAGTGAATCACTTTGCTGTACACCTGAAACTAACACAACATTGTAAATCAACTATATCTCATTAAAAAAAAACCCAAATCCCATGGGAAAGGGTGAGCTTATCCATGCGTAGAGTGAGCGGGGAGCAGCTGATTCTGCCCGAGGTGGTCAAGAGGCCTTCTCAGAGGAGGCGACCCATGAGGCCAGGAGACGCTCCCTCAAACCTTCTTCCAGACATTTCCTCTAAAAAGTGAAATATTGGGACTTCCCTGGCAGTCCAGTGGTTAAGACATCACCTTCCAATGCAAGGAGTGTGGGTTCAAGCCCTGGTCGGGGAGCTAAGATCCCACATGCCTCGCAGCCAAAAAACCAAAAAAAAAAAAAACAAAAACAGAAGCAATATTGTATTAAATTCAATAAAGACTTTAAAAATTGTCCACATAAAAAAATCTTAAATAAAAAAGTAAAAATAAAGAGTAAATATTTTAGGCTTTGTTGTTTTTACAGTCTCTGTCACAACTACTCAACTCTGCTCTTGTAGAGCAAAAGCGGCCACCCTTAGTAAGCGAACCAGCGTGGCTGTGTTCCAATAAAACTTTATCTATAATCATTAAATCTTGTATTCATACAATTTCATGTGCCATGAAATCTTATTCTCTTTTTCCAGTTTTTTCTAACCATTTAAAAATGTAAAAAAATTCTTGGTTTACAGGCTGCAGGCTGTAGTTTGATGATTTCTGTTCTAGATCCTTCTACAGGGTCTACAGGGTCAGACCACGATAAAATGAGTTGGTTTGGGGCTTCCCTGGTGGCGCAGTGGTTGAGAGTCCGCCTGCCGATGCAGGGGACACGGGTTCGTGCCCCGGTCCGGGAAGATACCACATGCCGCAGAGCGGCTGGGCCCGTGAGCCATGGCCGCTGGGCCTGCGGGTCCGGAGCCTGTGCTCTGCAATGGGAGAGGCCACAACAGTAACAGGCGTATCGCAAAAAAAAAAAAAAAAAAATGAGTTGGTCTGTTGTTCTCTCTCCCCATGGAAATGTCACTGGGGCAGCTCTTTCCTCACTCCTCTCTGACACTGGGTTAGAGAGAGTCAAGTTCAAATCCTGCCCCCACTGTTGGCACGCTGTGCGACCTTGTGTAAGCCATGCTGTCTCTGAGCCTCCATTTCTTATCTAAAATATGGAGCTGATGATTTGCAGGACTGCAGTGAGGATTAAATGTGATGATGTTACTGCAAGACCTCTGTGAGCAGGAATGTCACATTAAAATGGTCGCAGGATCATTACCTGTTGTTCCTGGATCCTGTGATGCCCTGTGAGGGAGAGGGGATTCCTGGTAAGTGAGATCTGGACACTTTGAAGGGGAAGAGCCTTGACCTGGAGTTCAGAAGCTATGTTGTTGCTGCATCAGGGAAATCTGTGTGTCCTCCAGCAAGTCCCAGCCTTCTCTGGGCCTCATCATGCAGCCGAAGGGGAGCCTATTCTGGCCACAACTTAAAGAAAGTGAGGTCTCTGTGTCTGGGTCTTGGAGGTTCTCACGCCACAGCAGAAACCCGGGGGAAGAAGCTCATGTTCATGGAACCCTAGTAAATGCCAAGCATACTGCTCTACCCGCCAAACTGGCCCAGCAGTCCTATCAGAACCCCGGTGGAGGACGAGGGCGTTGGCTAAGAGCACAGGCTCTGGAGGCCTGGACGCCTGCACCAGCCCTGCCGCCAAGAAGGGGGGTTCCTTCAATTCTGCTCTTCGCGCCCACCCCCATAGCTAACACATTTCCCTCTCCATCAGCTAAGCCTCTCTCTCCATCTGTTTCTACTGAGCAATCCAACCTCAGAGTCACTCCTCTCTCCTTTCATTTCAGCTGTCCCCACCCCCATCTTTGTCTTCCAGCTACTTTTTCCTGTGACTCACTGTCCCCCACCTCCCCCACCCTCCGTGCCCACACACACACACCTGGGCGCCCAGCTTCTCTCTCTCCATCTCCGGACTCATGGAGGAAGCCCGCCCATCTAACACAGCCTCCTTCCCTCCCATCGCCCAGCTCACATTAGCATAAACAAACACCTTCATTTCCATAGAATACACAGAGGCTGACATCTGGTCTACCGACCGTCACAAAAGGACTTAAAGAACGGGAAGCTTTTCATCAAGGAAACTTTGTGGGGAAGATGCTGCCTCCCATCTCAGAAGAAAAGAACACCGTGACAGCGGAAGCAGCAGGGAACTGTCTCCCCTCTGGGAACTATCTTCTTTGTTTGTAACTCAGCTAGACTGAAAAAAAATAGCCTCTCTACTGGGCAGGGCTGCTGAATGACAGTCATCTAGAGTGACATGTTTAGGTGACACTCATAGGTGCCTGTTATAGAGGCAACTTTCTTAAAGGCCTTGCGTAGGTGACAGGTGTACAGGTGACATGCTCAGGTGACAGCTCTGTGAAGAAACAGGCTCCAGGGACACATGGAGCTGGCAGCTACAGATAATAATGACACAGTTGACACACAGGTGGAAATGCACAGGTAACTGCCACATAGGGTGATATATGCAGAAGATGTATTTCTGTGCTAGGGACACAGGTGACGTGTTTAGGCAATCACTACACTCATGTTCTGGTGACAGTAACACCAGCAATATGTTTGGGTGACACAACACGGGTGGTATAGAAGACAGCTCAGGGGACATCTAGATTGGTGCTTTATGAAGGAGGCGGTTTTTTGCTTAGGACTATTTCTACAGCCTCGGATGTTTCTTCCTCCACGAATGGTCCTGCTCTCCGCCAGAGGTCCAAGCCACACTTCGGGCACCATCCTTGATGTCTCCCATTTCTATAATCCCCAAACACAGTCAGTGACCAAGTCCTGGATGTTCTGCATCTTAAATATGTCCTGAACCATCCTCTCCCCTGTATCTCCACTGTCAACATCTTTTCTCATCTGGAATATGGGATGAATAGTTAACTGGTTTCTCTGCCCCTGCTAATCTCCCTCCTGATCTGTG